GACTTCACATCTCCTATACCGATACCCTCATCACCTTGGCAGCGCCTGACTATTCTATCCATGCACAACAGAAACAAAATAGGGGACAGGACGCAGCCTTGGCGGAGACCAGTGCGAAGGTTGAATGTTTCTGACTTAACGCCATTAACTCTGACGCAGCACCTTCTATCAGTATACAGTGATTCGATGGCTCTTAGCAGTTAGCCATCTATCCCGTACGCTCGAAGGCATGTAAATAGAGTGTTGCGTGGGATCCGGTCATCGCCTTTTTCTAGATCTATAAAACACATGTGCATCGGACGGGCGTACTCCCACGATTTTTTAGCAATCTGGCGCAATGCAAATATATGGTCAGAGGTGCTTTGACAGGGCCGGACGTCACACTGCTCTTCTTGAATTTTGACGTCAACTATTTCACGGCACCTCTTTCCTAACACCTTTGCGTAGACTTTACCTAGGAGGCTCAATAACATTATGCCCCTATAATTGGAGCATTCCTTGTGGTCTCCCTTCTTGAACACGGGTGCAAAAACTCCCGTTTTCCAGTCAGCTGGTGTCGTTCCCGCGGTCATCGCAGTTTGACAGACACGTGTAAGCCAGCACACGCCTTGTCTGCCTAATGCATTGAGCATCTCAGGGCGGATTTCATCAATTCCAGCAGCTTTTCCATTTTTCAAGCTTTTGTAATTTCATCTCCTGAGATGGTAATATCCGTACCCCTTTGTTCTACAGGCGAGTCTTCCTGCTGTTGCACGGGGTTAAGGAGTTCCTCAAAGTACTCTCTCCATCACCGAAGAATGTCACCATCCTTGGTAAGAGTTTGTCCAGACCTGTCCTTCAAGACTCTGAGACTACCCTTCTTTTCACCTCGGAGCGGGCGGAAGGTCTGCCAAAATAACTTGCTTGTCGTGTAGAAATTCGACGACATCTCCTCACCGAAGTTCTGCCAGGAGTCAGCTTTGAATTTCGTTAATGCTTTCTCCGCCGCCTAACGTGCGTCGACATATCGCATGCGTGTGGAAGGCTCTTTGTTTCCAAGCCATTTCTTGAACGCTGTTTTCTTCTCTTTAAGTGCCAGTTGTATCTCTTGTGTCTATCATGATATTTTCTGACCTCCAGGCAGGCCAACCCATTTATATCGGCGGCATTCATCGGCAGCCTCGAGTATGCCGCTCTTAAAGAGCTGCCACTCGGTTTCCACATCAATTGTCAACACTGGGATCTGTTCAAACCATCGTGCGATGTTGTTTGCAAATTTCGCTCTCGTGTCCACCGAAGGCAATGTTTCCCATTTGATTCTCAGGTTGCTTCTGCCAACAACAAGGTGATAATCGGTTGATAGCTCTGCGCCTCTATTAACACGAACATCCATTACTGAGCGTCTTAAATCAGACAATAGGATTATCCAATCGATCATGGATTTCTGTGCGCATGTTTCCCGGTACCAGGTGTTCTGATGCACTTTTCGATGCTCGAAGAAGGTGTTCATAATGGACAATCCGTTGTTTGCACAAAACCACAACAACATCATGCCGTTGTTGTTGAGGTCGATAAGGCCGTTTTTCCCAATCACGCCGTTCCACTTTACAGCGTCTGCTCCGACGTGCGCATTAAAATCTCCCATCAATATGAGGGACTCTGTATCGGCACTTTGGACAGAGCGCACTGCTGTTCCTCAATGAAGGAATCATATATTTTCCCCATGAACTGCGTGCGTAGACCTGTACCAAGATCAAAGCTTAAGTGTGTTTAGGATGATGACCACCCTTCTACTGACAGGCTTCGAATCACTCATGGTATCTGCGAGGTTGGGTTCTGCCAGAACACCATCACCCGCCTTAGCTCTAGTCGTGATATCGACGCCTGAGTAGAATCCATCCGCTGATGTTCATGAGTCCAGTGCCTTGGCGTTTCGTCGAAGAGAGTCCGACAATGTCAAGTTGGTCTTTTTCGGCCTCATTGTCTAATTCTTGTTCTTTTCCTCTGAGTTAAGATATGTTCTAATTTCCAAGTTTCAGCTCCCTCTGGTGGTGTCGGTTTCGTGGAGCCTTTTCTGACGTGCTATAATGGCATCGCGCTGTCTGCTTCCTCCGTTCAGAACGGATGGCGACTCCGTTGTTGACTGATGGCTTCGTCGTTGTTCCGTCGGTGATCGTCAGCCGTTGCTATGCTGCTACGCCCCCGTGTGGCAGAGGGCACTGAGCAGGTTCTGATTGCCGACTTTTCGCAGTCCGCCTCAATCCCCAAACAGCCTGTTTGGCCTTCTTGGTAATTCAGGCGACGACCAGGCCGGTATGATTTTCGATGGCGTCAATACCATGAGTTGCAGGTGGTCAAATTTTACGGAGACTTGCCACGGTCTGCAAACTTCTTGCTTTCTTAACCAGCCTTGGGACCGATAACGGCGAAGTGGTGAAAAATGACTTGCAACTAAAGTGTTATTCGAATTACCCTTCGTCTGCTATCCGAATAAAATTCTTTCTTACGCAATGTTGTATGCAACTCTGATTATGTTCGTGGCTTTCAATAATATAATTCCTGTTTGAACAATAAAAGATCGCTGTTAAAAGTATTTCTGTCATAAGTTGGCTTAAGGAATGAGTCGAGAAACTCATGATTTAACGAATTTGATATAAATATGTTCTAATAAGTCCGTAGTGCCCTGCTTTACTGTATTTGAGGTATTTCATGCATAACTGTAGATTTGAGAAAGTTTGAAATTCAGTGCGATTCAGAATTTGTGTCAATTCAAGCAAAGTGTAATTATGTAATTATTTTGTAGACAAGCTTTCTTGCGAGAAACTCAAGTAAATTTTAACTGATGAAAACGTTTTAATAATATACTCATTATCCTGGAAACATTGTTATGAGGCATTGCTTAATTAAAATGACTGCAATATAACTTACCAGCAACAGATCGTGCACAGCAGAAACGCAAGTTTAGAGGGCAGTAATAGCCTGCCGGACACTGACTATCTTGTGAGCATGCGATGGAACTCGCTTTCTTACCATCCGGGCAGATACCTAAAGCAAGAGAGGCTACACGGTGATTGTATAATATAATGGGATAGTGCAGCAAATGACACTAACAATAAATCTCTTAGGCGAATGGATCATTAGGTGGACTGCTATTCACCTCATTGGACAACTGACTCTAGAATGCGATGTTTTAATTCGATAAAAACTGGCGTATAAAATGGCGGTATCGATAATTAGCAGTATGCTAGTAAATCTATCAGATCGGGTTTCATTTCTGCACAAAAATGCCTTCGGATAGTGGCATATTTGTAGGTATACGAACAGTCTCCTATTCGGGCCTGCCTAGTAATGCGGTTCTGTATCCATGTGTTGCAGGTGCTCAAATGTCATGGAGCTGTGGCCTACTTAAATGGACCCCTAGGCGACTAGAATCAAGGGGACGGTGCTTACGCCGCTTCAATCCGGGTATTAAAAACTAAAAAGGAATATAGCCTTTATTCTTCTGCATGTTTCCTGCCCAACTCACCTGAAAACTGAGACATATATATAGCAAGTTACTCCTTCAAGATCTTCGCCATTCGTTTTGGTAGTAGCCTTGGGCGGTCTTCTTCCGAAATGCAGATGCTAACTTTCAATCAGTGGTGAAAGAATCTTCTTGCAACTGCCGGATCTGTTGGAATTTAATCGTGTCATGTGTCAGGCAACTGACAAGTACTAGCTGCTGTCAGTAACTGGCAGTACTTCTGACAGTACTGATACCGTCAGAGTCTGTTAAAGAGTGATTCTACTAGTGAGATGGTACCTCTTCGGCGTACATATCGACGGTGAAGATGATGAAGCGTCGTGATTCGTTGAGCAGCTTCATACCAGTTGTGAACCGGTGGTCAATTATTCGATCAAGTCGGTGTAAACACGGTTTATGCAATGTTAATCGAGGCGTTTAGCACAAATTTTATAAGGAGTCTTAAACAGGGTCTTACTTGGCGCCGAAATCGTCAACGGGCAACACGACTGAGTAGAGATTGGACAATAAAATTGTGCCGGACACTGGTCACTGGTCAGACACCAGCTACCAGTCAGTGGACTGGACATGTCAGGACATAGAGCTAAAATATGTGATATTCAAACGTTGTAGATTGCGAGGCCTTTTCACTTTTGGTCCTGACATTCTCCGGACAGCAGATGCTTAAACGGCATGCGTATCCTGGTGGACACTGCTTCTCTTTATTGCAGCCGACGACTGCGAGGCCAACAGTAAAAGTACCGGAACATACTGTAAAAAATAAAAGCATCTTGCATACGATCTTAAATTCACTGTCGCATACTTTGCTGTGCTTTCGTAACCCAAGGCGATGTGTCGGCAGGTGTCGATGGTTCATTGCAGCATCTGCCTACATCGATGTTGCAAATGTATCCAGTAGCACAGTCGCGGTCAGTGAAGCAAGAGGAGTCTGCAGAACTTTGCCCTCCACAGTAGTTTGCATCTAGAAAATACGTCACGGCTTTGATATTTCAGTCCATCACAAGGTTATTATAAATCAATTAATATTCTCGAAACCGGGTTTCTAGAAATACGCACGTCTAAAGTAAAACTTAAATGAAGGAAAATCCCGCGGTACTGGAGCATCTAAAATATTTCCGGTGCAACACCTTATCTGTTACCAGTGTCGCTAGACAAACCAGTGACTCTTATATGTTTGGTAGAAAATCATGAATATGCGTTAATACCTCAAAGAGTCAATAGGTTCTAAATTCCTCCAACTCTGATTAACATTGGGCAGGGTGCTAAACTAGTTTCGATCTTGGAAATCTCGATCTAACTTGGAAATCTCGATTTACTTTGTTGCTCAGTGAGGCACAAGTTTGCTAAGCATTTTCGCTTTACGTGGCTGCCAGTGTTTTACTGATCGATGCAACGCATTTAGTTTTGTGCTTGTGAGTAAGAGAGAATTGCCTAAAAACGTTATGTTCATGACGAAGTATCATTTTTCCCAATGGCAGTTTCACATGCAAATAAGATGAAAAAATTTTTTTTAGATTTTTTTGCCAGCGTTGCTGGTCAGACGTGCAAACTTTGTCCTTTATACTCTTTTGGTAGCAGGCAACGGGCGATCTCAGCTGTCCACTGCCACGACAAAACTAGACTCTGGCAAGTTACTTTTTACTTACACGACGTAATCAAACTTACCAGTTGTTCGAAATTCCAAGGTAAAAAAATCGAAATAAAATTCTGCACTGTTAAAAAAATAACACGCCACAAAGCATATACAATAGTGAGAAAAAATATATGGTTCATTGGGCCTATGGTCACAAGAGAATGGTGTGATTAAAAGTGTGCAATCCAAAGAAAAATGATAATCTTAGTTATGAGGCTGCTAAACACGGGTTTTTTATTGCAACATGTTCGAATCAGAATTTCAGGGAAAGAAAGGGTGGGGAAAGTGCAACAAAATAGCCGTCATTAAGAAAGAAGCCTAGAAAATGTTTGAAATGGTCTTCTGGCTCTTTACCGCTTTCGCATCGATTGCTCTGATTTTATGCTCACAGACTGACAGGTAGGCCTCTTTTGCCATTCATAATTCAATTTTGCGTCTTTTGACGCAAGGGATATATTTATCTCACGAGACACAACCGAATTCAGCTTAAGATTGTAGAGTATTTAGGGAGGCGGTTTCCAAAACTCGCAATTTATTACCTATCTTCAGAAAATTAGCGTTTTTATCTTTGATTTTGCCTCATAAGATTATGGTTGACCTTCCCATTATCCTTATCAGCCTTGGCCACTTCTGGCTGGTTTACGAAATCGACAATTTCACCAAAAGTCGCAGTTCCAATTTCTTGTAATCTGTTGAAATTATAACACGCGGTAGGTCATACCTCTATCCGTGCATTTTTCCTACAATTGCAAGACAGTTCAACCAAAGTTGAGTGGAAATTCCTGAGGCAGTTCATAATTTTAAAAGATTTTCAGAAGTCTCTAGTTGTTGATTGTCTGCTAACAGTTACCCAAATAAGTTCCTCGAAGGAGCGTCGCGGGTAGCAGAACTTGAAATCCTTTGTGACGTGCTGACCTATCGGTTGAATAGGAGAAGTCACATTTGGTGAAAGGAACATTAATATTGCCAGGATCACACTCGGTGAGGTATTCACTCAGTGATACAATGGAGTGCAATGCATTAATAATACTCTGAGCTTAAAAATATTTGCAGTAGAATAAGGTTTGAATTCTGAGCAAAATTCTGAGACGATTCGTTGAAGTATGACTTTCAGGTGACGTGTCAGTGTGCTTTAGAATCCCTTTTCATTGTTCGATGTGTATGTGAGTGTAAATAAATCAAGAGTTTAGCTGTAAATCAATTGAAGCATTGCCACCTAACATAACGGTGTCCTCTGATTCCAGCAGGAATATGTGGCATGCACCTCCTTTCAGGGAAGCAATACAGATGGGACGCAAGCGCGTTCCTCGAAAAAGATTTAATGTAAGGGCCGACTCAAGTTATAGATAATAATTAGAGTTAAGCATTTCGATTAGATATGGCAAAAGCACCACCATTGTAAGTTCCTGAATGATTACAAATAAAACAAGACCACGAGAATGACCATTCATAACCCCAGCTTGTCATGGCGGTCGTAGAAGTCGAACTTATAGAACAAATCCATACTACCAAATATCATCCATTTTAGATCTGCATTCACAAACTCAATTTTCGTTAGTGGCGGTTTGACTACCTCACTTAAGAATGTTGAAAAACCTAGAAGCCTCAGTTCAAAACCGATTTTATCGTCACCCGTTGCATTTGTATGAATATGTGTCAAACAGATTGCGTTCATATATACCTAAATTCTTTTGTGCTTGCAACCATAACTTTCAACAACAGCTAAGAGACAGCATTTACGCCAATCAGCTCCAGACTATAGCAGGTCAAACAGTCTTCAAAAAACAAAGCCACTTTTCGACCTATTCAAGAGTGACACTGATCCATCGAGACATTTTCCATTAATCTGTTAGAAGTGATCGTCGAAATGAGCCATGGGTAGTTAAAATCTGCATTTGCATGCATCAGCGAAGAATTTCATAAGAGAACCGTAATTAAGATATTCAGTGTTATAAGCATAGAAGTGACTCAAGTATTACTGTCTGCAGGACAACAACCTCCGTTGATGCACGTAAGACCCTTTGGACACCTGCCATTGACACAGAATCCTTGGGCAATGCTTTTGTCAGGACAGGTAGCTAAAAGCAACGGTTCAGTATTTCCACCATTCGTCCACCACACTTCGCTGGTTTACTTACGGAATGCCGGACGATTCACAGCAGCGGCAGCAGCAGCAGCAGAGATCGAGTTCTTTTTCGCGGTGGGCATCGTTTTTGCTTCTTTATAAACACAAGTCATGCTGCTTTCGTCAAAAATCTTATACTCTGGGCAGCGTTTCCACGTCCATGTTCCAGTCGCAGATCTAAATGAGAAAGAGTGAGCGTGTAATATTATATTCTAATAATCTAAAAATTAATTTTATTGCACTGCTCTCTTAAACATTTTTCAGATCGAAAATGAGAAATGTTTCTTTCCTTAACGCCAAATCGCATAAACCATATAAAGAAAGCTGCTTTGTATTTTGAAGAATACTGCTTCACCCTTCCTGGTGCCATTTAATGTTATTTCTGAAGAAAATCATTTCTCTATAAACTCGTATTGTCTACGCACCGTCGTACATCATTAACTCCTTTAATTCTTGATTTTCCCATTCCTCATAACCTCCTTTCATATTTATTTTCCTTTCTGTCCTTTCCTGATTGTTTTTCTTTTCATCACACACCTTGACAATCTAAGTCTGTTAGTTTGTGTTGCTTACCTAAAATTAGTACAGGTAATGTCTCGTTGCCAGCTTTTCATCTGACCTATGTTCTTAATAACTAAATCTGTCTGGTCATCACTTTTAGAGTGCATCGCTTTGACGCTGAGTGATTCAAATTCATAATTCAAATTCTAGGGGAGTAGTGGCAAAATGGAAAAGAGTTCAGCGTTGACTTCTTGAGGTGCTGGGTTTAAATATACAGAGGGGATTATTTTTGTTTTAACAACGAATTCTTTAGACCAAGGAATGTGTCTCGCATTGCTTTGGTGCAGTAACTAAAAAATGGAAACCAGTCTTTGATTTGCCAATGAAAAGGACAGCACTGCATTCCTTTTTGGCCACACCATGACAAGAGAAATGCACGCTTTTTGTCGCTACACTTCGATGTGGCCTATCTGATGGCTGATTAGCCAGTGTAATAATTAGCACCAGGTGTTGCCGGAAAAACCTTCTCATGAACTTTTTAGACATATCTTCCTTAACGCAGAAATAGCTTCCCAATCAGACAGATTTATAATTTTCTGCTCTTATGCATACACCTCGTTTGAGGCCATGTCTTATTGTCTACGTCAAGCTTTTTACATGTCTGGCAAAGTGACTTTAGTTCTGATCAATACTTCAAGCTATGTCGGTTTTCTTTTCTGAAATTTTACTTCATTACTAGAAAGTGAACTATGCTAGAGATCACTTCACACTATGTCAATAAACCTTGAAGGCAAAGGGATCATAAATCATGCTCTGATCGCTGAGCATCGTCGGCTGACGTGCAGCTCCTCTTTATTAATAGTTGCTCCTCAGCATAAATAATGTTCAGAAGATGCTCTGGCATCAGAAGACCCAGTTGTCAATTTCGATCCGTTTCACTGTCATCGATCGGTAATGTTTTCTACGATATGATTGAAATTCAGGGCTGGTGCCCATCAAGCAATCCGTTGTTCATGATTTTAAAATCCGTTGACATTGTCTTGATTCAATCATGTTTGGGTCATAGACAAAAATAGTAAAGAAGCCCTTTACGACAGCTTTTTAAATAGCTAGAATGGAACAGTGGTGACTAGGCGTTTTGTAAATGAGTCCTATAATACTCATGGCCTAAAATTTCAGGTGCCGGATCATCAAACCAGCAGTCTGCCTGACTGTCATCCGCATGTAGTCAAATGGCCAGCTTTTCATAAAACCAGCTTTGACATATACTAGTAATTTTTCTCTATTCTATGTGTCCAAAAGAATACTGGACCATCTTCAGCAGTGTCAGCTTTTGTCGATCCACTGTTGAATGAAGACCTCGCTAAGTCTTTTTTGTAGACTTCTGTTTTCTGCCATTTTCACCCATTTTCATCCAGTGAACTCCTTCAGCTCATCCAATCATCCACCTAGAGGTTTTTCTGAGGAAAACTTATTCTCTTGAAACCCAGTGTTATGTCTTTCTGGTACAGCGATGGTCGGTTCATCTTGCAACGTGCCTTTTCACTGCCACTTTACCTTTTTCATTTGGGCATACTGCGTTGCATAGTGTGCAGGTTATAAGCAACTTTCTGGCTTACAGTTTACGTTACTCACCCGTAAGTTAGGCCGGGGGGCGTACAGTGATCGAATGCTGTCCGTTTCAAGAGCAAAAACAATTCGAGTCTGCCAAAAGTGATCTGTTGCAATCTTAGTCTTCGGCTGACGTCGTATACTCGTTTCTCAACTGCAGAGTTGAGCTGCGCCAGATAGATGTAGATTTTCGAATTCTTAAAGCCTAATTCAGCTGACTCAACAGGTCGCACGGTAACGTGTTTGCTCCTTATGGCCTGAATCTTCTTCAGGTTCATTTTCAGCGTCATCTATATTTTTGAGTCATCCACCTCTTCGGGTTCTTTTGTGAAGTTCTTCTGGCGACCTCAATTGATTAGAATATTGTCAACCAACCGCAGGTGGTTTAAGCAGTGCCCATTCATTATCAGCTCCCTTATTTTCTCAACAGAGTGTCGTTGACGTCTCTCCTGACTGCTGTGAATAACCCTGGTGATATAGCATCAATGTTTTGAACACCCAGTTTCATT